TTGTTTGTTTGTTTGTTTGTTTGTTTGTTTGTTCGTTTGTTTGTTTGTTAGTTTCAACAGAACAAGTGAGCACAACATTTTAACTCTTTGTATGGAGTTTAATTGCTTCTCTTCTTTCAGGTGTACACATCTAACATTTTTACAACATGCTGGTTAAAATAAATTAAACATTACTTAGATTTTTTAAATATATTTTCATTGCTATAAATTGTGTTGAATATGACTTAAACAATGACGGGCTTCATTTTGTTTTCTTCTCTGTTTGTGTGTTTCCTCAGCTTCCTGGTGGATTATGACTAACAACTGAAACCCGACTGTCACATCCACAGCCACACGGACTGAGACGCTCTGGTGCATCATCCCACCTACCCATTTGCACTCTGACACACACACACACACACACACACATACACACACGCGCACACACACACACACACACACACATACGCAGAAGAATTGAAATGGTATATGGTACAAAGAGTTTTGTATCTGCATACTTTAATGTTCCAGTTTCTGACCACTCATTTATTTTGTACAAAAAAGGCATCGCTGCATTCTATGGACTGTAGATTCAAAGTGTCTGTTTATGTGAAATGCAAAAGACAAATTGTGAATTTTCTCATATTATCTGACTTGTAATATTTTCTCTCGCAGTGTTTGCTTGATATTATGCTAATCGAGAGCAACCAAAACCACACTAGGCTGTTAGAACAAACTCATTTGCAGTGAAATGACAATATTAGCATTTTGGGGTGGTGGGATTTCAGCAGTTGGTTATAATTATCATGAAAAACAACAATAAGAGTATGTGAATATGAAGCATAACTGCTTCCTAAACATGCATGTTGGTGTAAATACTGTATGATATAATAGCATGGTTTTGCCTTCATTAAGCTGTCCTTTTGTCATGTGCAGAGAATGCAAAAATAGCTATTATTACCCCGCTCTTTATCTATTGCTAAGTGTTTAGTTATTATACCTGTTTTACTTTTTCTCAGTCATCCGTGAGCTGTTATTCTCATCCTCAAATGTACATATGTCTTCAAAATGTGTATAAATATAAAAGCAAAATCTTTTAGATTAATAATAATAATAATAATAATAATAATAATAATAATAATAATAATAATAATAATAATAATAATAATAATAATAATAATAATAATAATAATAATAATAATAATGATAAGTTATAAGAAGATGAAAATCTGCTTTATGTTATATTTTGATCGTTGTGTGGTTTCTGTATTTTCAGAATTCACAAACTATTGTATAAAACTATTTCTGTTCTTTGGTTTAGTGGTCAACACCACTGACTGACTGAAAACCAACAATAAATAAATGTGTTAATGATTCTAAGTGTTTGTTTAAAAAACAGTGTTTGACATGATTTTTAATTACATTCTGCTACTTTGAAACAATAAAAAAATGCTGAATCAGTTTACATTTGAGAAAGCAGTCACTGAAAGACATTTATCCTCCGAATCTAAAGCAAAAATTCATCACAGAGCTCCATTTCAGGCTCTATATGGAGTTTCAGCCACAGCAGGAAACTACTGAGAGTAAAAAATGAATGGTTTAAACATGCAATGTTTTTTTTTTTCCTGATCCGTTCCAAATGACTATTAAACACAGTGAGAAACTAGAGGAGGATCTGGCAGTTACAGAGAAGAATATTTTTACCAGAAGTTAACAAAAGAGAGCAAAAAGAGAGTTGTACGTTTTAAAATTAATTCTAATGTTTCATATTTACTGTTGTGTATTAACCATAATTATCCTGGTCTTACTGTAAACTATGATACAAACACAAAACAAAATTACTTTAAAGACATACATGCCAAAGCCAAATTAATTGTTTTCTTTTTAAGAGTTTTAAAGAGACAGCCTCAAAATGGGTTGATCTGAGACACACCTCAGCAAAATGCAAAGGAGGGGCTTGTGGATTTACAATAAGGAGGAATTCAGAGCAAAGCATTGCAGTTCCACTTTATATCCCAAATGAAGAATTTAAATGTGAAAAAGAAGAATTTAAAAGCGTGATACATCTCCTTTAACTAAGTGTAAAAAGTTTATATTAGACCTGAGACAAATGTGGTTTCTCAAAGCAGGGTAACTGTTGTTATTCAGTGTCAGATGTGCTTTAATAATTTACTCTGTCAATATGTGTCAGCTGAAGGAGTCAACCATCCGGAGCCGACTCTTGGCATATAGAGCACCATCTGCCGAAGGGGGCGCCGAACTACAGAAAAAAAAAGTAATTATTTTTAATCCCTGGTTGTAACTCTGTTCAGCGCCCCTTTCAATTAGCGTTGTCTTAAAAAACTATAATGAAGTATTACAGGAAAAATAAACTACTCTACCCATAAAATATCCTCCCCTCCCCCCCAATGCAGCAATCGCCCCCACCCACTCTCTCATTTGATTGACGTTGCACTGACGCATCCTGCTCCGACACTCTGACGGGGGAGGGGCTAGTATTGCCTCTCAGGTAGCGGTTCGTGTTGATAAACTCAATAACAACAAGTCTGTATTTTGTTGTCCCATACATTGTCAACCTCTTCAGACGTTTACCTGGATAAAAAAAATTCAAAAATCCATACATTTTGCAAAAAATCCATACAACTCGCACGGGGGGGGGG